GTTAGAGTTTCCTATAAATTTTAGAGATAAGTCCCTTGTCAGATATGTAATTGCCAAATTTTTTTTCCCACTGTAGTTCTCTTTTGACTCTTTTGGAGAAGTTTTGGAAGCACATAAAAATTTAATTTTCAGAAGGTTCCATTCATTTAATTTATCTTCAGCTGTTTGTGCATTTTGGGTTATGCTTGATAGTCTATTTATGCCATATATTTTGGCCCCTAAATTTGCCCCTAGTTTTTCCTTGAAGAACTTTATAGCTTTAGGCTTCACATTTAAGTCTTTGATCCATCTGGAGTTCATTTTTGTGTATGGTGTGAGATATGGATCTTGTTTCATTTTTTCTGCAAACAGATATCCAGTTTTCCCAGCGCTCTTTGTTAAAGAGACAATCTCTTCCCCATCTAATGGATTTCAGCAATTGTCAAAAATCAGCTGACCATAGGTCGGTGGATCTATTTCTGGGTTCTCCAATTTTTCCACAGGTCTATGTATCTGTCGTTATACCATTACCAGACTTTTTTGACTACCGTGGCTATACAGTAGGTTTTGAGATCCAGGAGTGTGAGACCTCCTACTTTGTTGTTCTTCTTCAATAATGTTTTGCTTATTTGAAGTCTCTTTCCTTTCCATATAAAATTAGTGATTGGTTTTTCCATATCCTTAAAGAATGCTGATGGGATCTGGATTGGGATTGCATTGAATGTACAGATTGCTATGGGTAGTATTGACATTGTCACAGTGTTCAATCTTCGTATCCATGAGCATGGTCTGTTCTTTCATTTATGTAGATCTCTTATGGTTTCTTGGAGTAGTGATTTTAGTATTCTTTGTGCAGGTCCTTTGTGTTCCTAGTGAAACTTATTCCCAAATATTTTATTTTTTGGGTAGCTATTATAAATGGTATTGATTTCCTTATTTCCTTTTCAGCAATCTCTTTGCTGGTGCAGAGGAATCCAACTGATTTTTGTATGTTGAACTTGTATCCTGCCACGATGCTAAATCTCTCAATTAGTTCCAGTAATTTTTTTTTTTTTCCCTGAGTCTCTTGGGTTTTCTATGTGTAAGATCATATCATCAGCAAATTGGTATAGTTTTACTTCTTCCTTACCAATTGGGATGTCTTTGACTTCCCTTTCTTGCCTTATTGCCCTGGCTACAACTTCCAATACAAAGAAGTACTGAGATATTTATCTTCAATCTCACTAATTCTGTCTTCCATTGATTCAATTCTACTCCTTTGCCCATTCAATGTGTTATCTATTTCTGAAAATTTAGTATTAATCTTCTGGATTTCTATGTGTAGATTTTATATCATTTCTAATTTTTCATTTATTTTGTCATTTTGTTCTTGTATTGTCTTTTGAAATTGTTCTAGCATTTTCTCTGTGTTTTCCTCAATTTTGTCAGTGTTTTCTTTGATCTGTCTCTCAATCCACTGAAAGTACCTAAATATGATTATTTTGAATTCCTTATCAGGGAGTTCCAATGCTGCTTCTTCCTCGGGGTTATGTTCTGGGTCTGTATCCCAGTCCCTTGTTTCTCCTGCTTTATCTTGCTTCTTTGTGTGGACTGTGATGGTCTGTTGTCTCTGAAACATTGTGACATTTTTGTGTTATATTTAATTGGTGATAATATGTTGGAGTGATTTGCTTAAGATTTTCATTTTCTTTGTTTTGTTTGAATATTATCTAAGTAAGCAGGGTACTGTGTTCTTCTATTTGGTAGTTGGCAGCACTTATACACTCACCATCTGTCTCCTTTCCTGTTGTCAGTCTCCTGTATGTGCTGCCATGCTTGCCAAGAGGAGCCTATTCTTAGGTCCTGTTTTCATTCAGATTCTTCTATTAGATAGTGCCTAATCTATTTCTGTATTCTTCCTTTCCAGGGCTCCAGGATTATGTTCTATATCTCTGTCAATTGGTTTCTCTTTTCTTTGTTGAAGAGGGTCTGTGTAGCTTGTCTGCCTATTCCACCATCTTCTCATTGAGCTTCTTGAATGCCCATCTTCTCATCTTTCATGATATTAAAGATATTTACTTCCAACAAACCTTTGACAATTTACTTTGTGCTTTTTCTTTTTCCTCCTTGTTTTAGAATTCTGATAACATGTAAGTTATTCCTCTTAATAGTGTCCCACATAATTCTTAGGCTTTCTTCATTTTTAAATTCTTTCTTTCCCAATTGTTCCTCTAATACCAATACAAATTAGTATTAAGAGATTTATCTTCTATTTCACTAATTCTGTCTTCAGAACTGATTCCTCTTCCAATCATCTGGCTGTCTATTTGATGTTTGTGAATGGTTTCTTAGTTTTCACTTATTTTGTCTATTTGTTCTTGTACTGTTTTCCTGAATTATTCCATAGTTTTGCCTGTGTTTTTCTTATTTTTTTCTGCAGTTTCCTTTATTTCTTTCTTAATCTGTTGTAGAGACCTAAGTATATCTCTTTTGAATTCTGTATTGGGTGTTTCCAGTATCATTTTTTCGTCTGGAGATTTTCTGGTCCTATATTTTGATCACTTTGTTGATCCATCTTGTCCTTTGTGTGTGTGTGTGATTTGAAGATAACTGTACTCTCCAAGACATTGTGGTGTTATTATATTTATTTGTTGATTTTATGTTGGTTTGTTTCCCCTTGATTTTTGTTTAGATTTGATTTAATGTATTTTTTCAATGAGGTTAATCTGGTTTGTCTAATCGTATTGCTAGTTTTACAGCACTGGGGAACTCACCACTTCTCTCTAGGTGAATTTTGTAGCAGATAGTATTGGAGGCATGAATTTCTGATTGTCAGTTGTATAAAGAAGCTGAGGGTAGGCTAGGTAGGTGTTGGCTGTCATTAATTCAGTGGTGCTGTAGCAGGTGATAGCACTTGTCCTGTTGGTGAGGAGTCAGGCATGGTGTGTATGTCTGGGTAAGATTGCTGGCTCTCGACTGATACAGAAAAAAGAAAAAAGAAAAAGGGAGGAGAGAAAGAAAAAAAAAAGGCAGGGAAAAGAGAAAACTAAGGAGCAGAAAATAAAAGAAAAATAAAATAGAGAGGAAAAAGTGGCATAGTACTAGTGCAAGCACTACCCAGCAAACACTGCTGAAGTGGGAACATGAAGGTTGCTCAATAGAAGTATGTACCACTGACTGCAAGGGAAAGAGTGGTGCTTCTAACCACTGAGGCAGTGAGGGGCAGGCACCTGCTCTGTGGGATCAAAAGAAATAAATAAGGGTGGGGTAGAGGAAGTAAAAGAGAAAAGAAAAAAAAAGTGGGGGAGCATAAAAGAATTAAAAAGAAAAAAAAAAACCATAGTATTGGTGCAAGTGTTAACTGCCAAACATGGCTGCACTGGGAATGCATTGCTTGCTCCCCAGAAGCATGCACCACTGTCTGTGGAGGGGCTGGGGCAGGTGCTGCTGAATATGGAGGAGGTGGGAATGGGCACCTGCTCCAAGGAATCAAACACAAAAAAGGGAGGGAGAGGAAGAAGAAAACAAAAGAGAAAGAAAAAAAGAGGAGGAAGAGGGTTGACTAGCTGCTGGTGGGTGGGGGTGTAGGGGCTGCTCCTCTAGTCACTGAGAGGTTTTGTGGTGTGGGGGCAGATCCCACCTCTCTGGTCACTGATCACTGATGTGAGTGCTGGTGCAGTCTTGGATGAGTGGAATCAGTTATTTGGTTCTACCCAGATCAGAACACTGCTTGGAATAATTCAAAATGGCTGTGCTGTACTGGGCTAGTTGGCAATTCACCACTTCATATGCCTCCTTATTCATTGTTTTCATTCAGACTCTTCCTCTAATCAGTATTTGATCTACTTATTTATCCTTTCTTTTGAAGCTCTATGTTCCAGGATTGTCATCCACATCCATTTCACTTGGTTTCTTGAGTCTTTGTTGTGAAGGGTCTATATAGTATATCTGCCTTGTCTACCATCTTGGATCATCTTGAGGATTAGTGGTTGGAGAGGTCACTCAGGAAGCTGCTTGAACAGCCAAGACAAGGCAGGATGTTGGGGAGCTGATGTAATGATGGCAGGAGTCAAGAAACACTTCTAGATTTGACAGAATCAGGCAATCAAAGAAAATGGAGGTCACAGAAAGGGAAGAGTCTAGGATTCACTCTCTTCTTCCTTCCTACCATCAGGTTAATTGTGTACCTATTCTGTATGAATTTTTGTGATAGGCACACAGGGCATACAAGGAAAAGACAGACATGAAGCCTGTTCCCATGGAGCACAGAGTCTCATTAGGAGGAAACGCAATAATTTACTCCTGAGCCACCTACCTTCTGACTTGAGTAACATGATTAGACAAAGGATTCTAGAGAAGCAGATTTGTGTGTCAAGGACAAGGTAGTTTTTTTTGATACTATGCTGAGGAGAATGATTTGGTATGACTGAGTATGAAAAGCCTGAGTAGAGGTTCCAGTAGATGTCAAGTCAGGCTATGTGGTTAAGAGTTCTAGGTGTGGTGGAGCCTAGAGGTGTATATTTGAGGGAAACTGAGTCTCTGAGGGCCTTGAAATCACCCAAGTAAAATTCCTGCCATCAAAACAGCACCAAGGAAGGACAGATCTTGGGATGTACCAACATTTAAGGGGTAGATGGAGAAAAAAGTTCCAGAAAAGAGTAATTGCTGAGAAATAATAGCCAAAGAAGTTGAAGGAAAACCAAGAAATTAAGTGTCATGGAATCTATGGGAGAAGTGAATTTCTAGGATAGTAAATTAAAGCCCAGGACAATAAGATGAAAACAGGCATTGAATAAGGTCTACCATTCTGGTAATTTCATGTTGTTATTCCCATACTTGAGTCTGCCAGGTGTCCATATATTCACGACCCATCCCATCCAAGATTTCCAGGTGAGGTGTGATCTCCAGGTGGGGCATGAGGCCTGAGTGCCTGCTGTGCAGGTACCCAGCCTTCAGAAATATCATTAGAACTAGGCAATAAACTAGAACTGTTGTATCTGCAAGCCTCAGTTGACTCCATGGACCAGGGATGTCCAACTTACCTGGCCGTGGGACTTGATTCCCACCACAGACCAGTGTGGCCCCTTCCTTCACACCACGCTGGCAGTACTCAATCAGCTTATTGAGGTGGGCTTTGTGGTTCTGAGGCCCATGGGTGGTGTCTCGGTCTAATGGGTTTCCAATCTTCATCTTCTTCACCTCTTCTACCTGTGGAAAGTCTTCCTCATCAGCATCATTTCTGACAGTGGTCATCACCTGGCTTTTCCCCATTTGCATTTTCAGGGACTGAGCACTGACTCCTGGTGAAGCCCATACTCAATCCTGGCAGTCAGCACCTTTTGTAGCCTGGCTCTAAATCACCTTCCAGGCTTATCTCCAAGTAGATCTTGTGTGCAAAGTTATAAATATCCCCAAGGGAGACACAGGCCTAGAGTTAGGTAACTAGGAAGCAGAGCTGGTCATAGATATGGATGAATGGAGAAGAGAGGAAGGTGTCCATGACTGGTGGGCAGAGATGGGAGATATGTGGGCCTGCACCCAGCTCCACGGAGTAGGGACTTACTCTGAGGGAGGTCAGAGTGGAAGAAAATGTCTCTATTGGGGACTCTAGGACATGAAGTGGGGTTGGGATATGCAGTCCTGCTGAAATATCCTGGAGACAAAGTGGGACAAGGCACAATGGAGAGGAGCAGTCTGTTCCTTGAGCCCACCCACCCTGGTTCCTGTTTCTGCCTACTTCAAAGCCTCTTTCTCCCTGAAGCCTTCTGTCTTGCCTCAGCTAACACAACCATCAGTCTAGGCATTGCTTCCTGTCATCTAAAGATGCTGACCAGGGTCTCCTCAAGGGATATCTTCCTCAGGGAAGATGTTACCTAACAGTCCTGGAGCCTAGGATGTGGAGAATCAGAAAGTAAAATGATACTTGGGAGGTTATGTGACTAAAAGGTGCTCAGGTACACATAATCAGTAGAAGGGTGACTCCAGATTTTCTGGGATCCAGGCTGGAGTCATCCTCTCTCACTTCACTGTCTCTGTCCTAGTCTCCTTCCTCAATTTACTCCTACTTTTCATATGAACTCAGACAAGGTAATCTCTGCTCTTAGTCAAGCCATATCATCATCAGGATTCACTGGCCTCTTCCATTCTCAGGAGAAGGCCACAACATCCTAAGCCAGAAAAACACAAACCTGTTGTTGTTGAGTGACTCAAAGTGACCCTATAAGACACAGAGAACTGCTCCACAGTGTTTCCAAGGCTGTAATCTTGTAATCTTTATGGAAGCAGATTGCCACATCTTTGACACATGGAGCAGCTGATGAGCTCAAATCACTGACCTTTCAGTTTGCAGCCAAGCACTTTAACCATTGTGTCACCAAGGCTCCTTCCACACCCCTGATGTTGTTGTTGTTAGATGCCATCAAGTTGGCTCTGACTCATAGTGACACCATGTACAACAGAATGAAACAGTGTCCAGTTCTGTGCCAGCCCTACAATTCTTACCATACCTGAGCCCATCATTGTAGCACTGTGTCAACCCATCTCATTGAGGGCCTTCCTCTTTTTCATTGACTCTCCACTTTACTAAGCATGATATCCCTCTCCAGGGAATGGTCCCTTCTGACAACATGACCAAAGTAGGTGAAATGAAGACTGGTCATTCTCACTTCTAAGGAGCATTCCGGCTGCACTTCTTCCAGGATAGATCTTTTGGCAGTCCATGGTACTTTCAGTATTCTTTGCCAACATCCCTGTTGTTGTTGTTATGTGCCATTGAGTCGGACCCGACTCATAGCAACCCTTCCTTGAGTTTCCAAGGTGGTATCACTATGGAAGTAGATTGCCCAACCTTCCTTCTGAGGAGTGTGGCTGGTGGGTTTGAACTGCCAGCCTTCTGGTTAGTAGTCAAGGGCCTTAGGCAGTACGCTACCAGAGCCAACACCCTTATCAAACCCTAATTTGATGCAAGAGGACTCAGCCACCCTGGGAATGCCTTCTGTCCCTTCCCACTGCAGTGACTGGAAGGAGTCCCTACAAAACCCTCTGCTTGTTCTCTGATCTCTGCTCTTGTCCTGAGGGTCCACAATGTCCCCCAGGCTACCCAGGATGTAGGACAACCTCATACCTGCCCCTGGATGCCTACCTCACTGCTATCATTTACCTCTTCCCTGAGAATTGTCCCTGAGATCTGGCTCCTGCTGCAGCCTGGCAACTCACTTGCAAAGCCTTGGGAAGGCCTGCCTGCCTCTACTCTCACCCAACCACACCCTGCTGAGGGTCATCCCTGTACCTAGCTTCCTCTCCAGTCAGCCTTGGGACTACCCCAAAATCAAGCTGTCTCTGTACTGGGCCCTGTCACAGAGACAGGACCGTTCAGTCAGGCTGGTTGATTCCCTAACTTCGGGAAGGCTATAAAATGGACATCTTACTTTGCATCAAGTGTTGGAACCTATTTGGCCACTCTAAATCTGGCTGGACTGCAACTTGCTTTGGCAATAAAATATAGCAGCTTTTAAACCTATACCTTAAGAGGTCCTGAACCTTCTACTCTCAGTCCTGGGACCCCTAGGATCCCTGTCACTGAATAAATGGAGGATGAGGAAACAAAAAATGAGCCACACCCACTGTTATGAGTTGAATTGTGTCTCCCAAAAAGATATGTTGGAAGCCTAAGTACTCTACTTGTGAATGTGACCCTGTTTGTAAAATAGGATTTTTCTTTGCAGATGTAATCAGTTAAGTTAACCAAGTCATAATGGAGTAGGGTGGGTCCTATCCTAATCCCTTGTGTGTAGTGTCTTATAAAAGAGGACAGACACAGAAACAGCTACATTCAAGGGAAAAACATGCTATGTGACAACAGAGGCAGATGCATCTATAAGAAGCAAAAAAAAAAAAAGCCAAGGATTACAGGCAGCTTCCAAAAGCTGGGGAGCTTTGGTGGTATAGTACCTAAGGCATTTGACCGCTAACCAGAAAGCTGGCAGTTCAAACCCACCAGCCATTCCTCAAAAGGAAGACTGGAAACACAAGGAGGGGTTGTTATGAGTCTGATTTAACTCGATGACAATGAGTTTGTTCTTTTTCTTCACCAGAAGCTGGGGGAGAGGCATGGACAAATCCATCTTTCAGAGCAGATTTGGACTGCTAGCTTCCAGAACTGTGAGAAAATAAATTTCTGTAATTTTAAGGCACCCGCTTTGACGTATTTTGCTATGGTAGTCCAAGGAAACCTAAACATGCACTGAGCCACTGAAACCCACCAGCCCTAGCACACTGGCCACTAAGTGCAGGTGCACAGGCAAGATCAGATGGGCCTACGCTAGTGCCTGGCCCAAAATACAAGCCCAAGAATAGTCAACTACATAAACATCTCTGGTGGAGTAGTACCTAAGGCATTTGACTGCTAACCAGAAGGCTGGTAGTTCAATCCCACCAGCCACTCCTCGGAAGGAAGATTGGGCATTCTACTTCTGTAGTGATACTGCCTCAGAAACCCAAGGAAGAGTCACTATGAGTTGGATCCGACTCAACGGCAGTGAGTTTGGGTTTTTTTTTTTTTGAAAGAATAAATCATTACTGCACCACTCCTCATATCTGCTGGGATCAGATTCTTTTCAGAGTTCCCTACTCCTTGGTGTCATTGATGGATCAGGGATGAGCCAGGGACCCACATCATGTGAACCATCATCCTTCTCCACCAATTCTTCTCACAGAGTTGGTGGGAACACATATTTTCCCCTCTGATTCTATGTTGTAAGAATGTAAAGTTAGGGTCCCCACAAGCTCCACTGTGTTTTGAGACTGGTCAAAGAGAATGAAGCCCACCCATAGAGATACTGGGGAGACATTAAGGACATTACTGAGGGTGTAAATGATATTTATGGTCCTTGAGTCCAACCTCACCTGCTCTTCTAGGATTCAGTTAAGTAAGCCAGTAAACCCCGTGAGGATGCTGTTTGCTGCCCCATTAAGGTCCCCTTTACCTGTAAGGGTCCCCCCTGCCACTGCTGTGAGAATTCTTCTCTGGAGAATAGCTCTCCAGTGATGGTTGCTTCCTCTTCTGTCTGTGGGCATCTCATAGTGAATGCACAAAGGACAGGGCCTTGAGCAAGGGGTATGTTCCTGTAGTATAAGTCAGGCTCTGGAGCTCCCATGGGTCTAAGCTCACCTGAGACCATGCTATTGCTTCTGCCTCTCCCTTGTCCTGTCCCACCTTACCCTCACCCTCACAGTCTTTCCCGAGAGCTCACTTGCATGCCCAGACCTAAGACTTCCCTTTTTGGTTACATCTGTCAGAGCTGGGTTGCTATTTCTTGCTGAAATAACAAAGACTTAGAACAAGTCTCCCTTAGGGTCACCTGACCCTGGTGAACAGTGCTTCTGAGGGTGGACCCCAACTTCTCTTGCCCTAGCTTCCCACCGCCTCCACCCCAAGCCACTGTCCAGGTGAACCAGCAGCTCTGAGATCCTGTGGCAGGCAAGACTTACCACTTTCTGCACAAACTGGTCATGAATGGAGTCCTCTACGAAGAGCCGGCCAGCTGCAATGCAGTTCTCTCCTTTGTTGAAAAACACTGAACTCATCCCCTGCAGTACATGGGCACAGTGCTGGATTAGGGTCCCACATGGGCTCAGGAACCCATGAGCAGATACACCAAGTGCTGAACACCCGCTGTATTCCAGGCCCTCCTAGACACTATGCAGGCTTCCCTTTGCCCTGAGTGTTGGAATGATGTAAGGTCACCCATGAAAGTGGCAGAACTGAGTCCTGACCATCACTGCCCATGCTGTAGGGAATTAGGAATAGAAGTGAAGGGACTTCAGTAAACCAAGACCCCAGGGCTGTTGCAGACTACTCTGTGCATACTGGGTGGGCTCCCTGGGGTGGTATTCCACATTTGAGCTTTCTGGTGGTGAGCCTGAGGGGCCAAGGCCAGGTCTGTCATGGTGGAAAAAGCAAGGTGATGGGCAGAGGGATGGGGGAAGGCAGAAGGATACTCTGATTCAGTGAGGTCTGAGAGAATTTCTTCAAGAGTCAGTCCTAGTATCCTCTCAGGCCAAGTGAGCCAAGAAGACTTGTGTGAGAAGTTAGGGGGAAGAAGGGTCAGGTGGCTCTGGGTGGAATTTGGCTCTCCTTGAAGAAGGGACTGTGTAGCTACCATGATGGGTACAGCTGCTTCAGTCTTGGCCCTGGGGCCAAGACCCTAGCCTTACTTGGTCTCCCCATCTATGGGGATTGTGCTCCCTTTAATGCCCACACTGGGTTGTCATACTCTCCTCCAAAACAGAGTGTGACTTGGGGAGGTAGGGCTTATTGGGACATCTGCTTGAGTATGGCCTTATTGATTCACTCCAACAAGAGTGAAGAGAAGGAATAAAGCATAGTAACAACAGTAACAACAATGATGGCAAGAACAAGTAACATGTATATGGTCCTGCTGTGGGCCAGGCACTGTCTCATGTGCTTCAGCCATATTCACTCATTTAGTCTCCATAATCCATGAGGTCATATCATTTTTATTCCTATTGCACGGGTAAGAGCACTGAGGCCAGAAAAGTTAAGTGATTTGCCCAAGTCTCCCCAGCTAGAAAGCGGGGGAGATGATCGAGTGTGGATGTGGCACAAACAAACTCATGGGTGAGCAGACACAGGTAGCAGAGAGGGGTTGCTGTTCACAGTCCTGTTCACCATTTTGGTTTGCTTTGCTATGGGACAGGAAAGGTTGCCATGTTTGTTCCAGAACAGAGCTCCATGGCTTATGCATCTCAATTCTGGGAATTGTGGATGACTTGAAGATTTTTATTTCTTGGGAATTAGTTTTTGGAGGGGCATATGTCATTCTGTGCCCCAGAGCCCCCGTCCTACCACGCTGTGATTGTGGTGACCCCATGGGCCCCATTACATTTGAGATCTTGTTGAATGTGCCAGATTTTATTGTGGAATCAGGGAAAGATGGCACCACCCCTCCAGCTGATCTGCCTCCTTTAGGCCCAGCCTCACCATCTGCACAGCCTTGTTCAGGTCACAGTCAGCAAAGATGATGAGGGGTGACTTTCCACCCAGCTCCAAGGAGACCTTCTTCAGGTTACTCAGGGCACAGCTAGAAGGAGTAGAAGGGTTGGTGGGACTAGAGTTGGACAAGCTCAGGAAGCCTCCCAGTGGAAATATCAGGGCAGATCCCTAGTATGGTTCAGAGTGGAGGGAGTCAGATGTCACAGTATCCCCAGTGCCCCGTCCCCTGTCACTGTTGACTTCTTCCCTCACCCATCCCCTGGATCACTCCCTCCTCATACTCAGGTGTGCCTCCACCTCAGGGCCTTGCTCTGACAGTCCTGTATTCCCTTCTGGTCTGGATGGTTCTTCCCTCAGATATCTGCACATCCTACCTCCTCACTTCCTTCAAGCTTTGGATCAAGTTTCACCTTCCCAGGGTTCCTGCACTGGTTACCCAACTCTTTCACTGAGTACTTTCTCCCCTATCCCCTGATCTGGGTGTGTGTTTATTGTCTGAACCCCCTGCTTGACTGTCAGCTCTCAGGGTAGGCCTCACTCAAGAGTGTGCAAGAAATGCAGAATCCCAGTCCCCAGAGCACATAGAATCTGCACACATTCAAGTTTGTGAAGCATGATCTGTATCACATGATGCTACTGTCCACTTCCAGACACTGTAACCAGAGATTGCAGTTTCTAGGGCCAACCAGGGCTTCTCCCAAATTCCCCAGGCACGTACCTTTTCATGATGTGCTTCCCCACCTCTGTGGAGCCTGTGAATCCAATTTTCCTCACATCAGGATGGTCTGAGAGTCTCTGGCCAACATGAATGCCTGTGGAATAGGGGTGGGTAGCAGAGTCAATGTGGCCCTCATGGTGCTGGGTGGGGAGGCACATGCTCAGCCCTCTTGAGCAAACACTCAGAGGACCAGAGCTCTGCTGTGCTCATCATGGGCCTAGTGCCATCAGAGCACATGGCTCACTGTTCCCCATGTGATTTTTCACTATCAGGGAGGGCACCCAGCCTTCCTGCTCTTCCAAGGTGCCCAACAGAGACACAAGGATGCCTGGCCAGGCTTATGGGAAACATGGTGTTTTGAATGTCACAGATTCCAAAGGCCTGCCCTCTCAAGCTACAGTCTGCCTGGGACAGCGGTGGACCTCAGAAAGTGTGATTCTTGGTCTGAGCCCACCCGATGGCCTCCCCAAGTCATGCAGTGGCCTGCATATCACCCAATGTGGCTAATTTCTGTCCAGCCTTTAAGTCTCTGTGTCAGTGCCACTTAGAGTGGGCTTCCCTGGAATTGCCTCCTCACAAACTCAACCTCTCTTCTGATTAAATCTCTCCCTTCTTAAAGCTCTTTCCTCTTTTGGCTTCTGCCTCTATACTCTCTTAACTTTCCTACTACTTTTCTGGCTGCTCTTTTTCTATCTCTTTGTTCATCCCTCTTCCTCTACCTGTGGTGTGGCATTTATCAATTCAAAGAATGCTTCAAGATCTAGCCTGAAGTACAATGCTGTCAGTGATAGGATAATATCCACATGCCTACTAGGAGGACCAGTTAATACTACTATTACTCAAATTTACATGCCAACCACCAAAGCCAAAGATGAGGAAATTGAAGATTTTTACCAGCTCCTGCAGCTTGAAATGGACCAAACATGCAATCAAGATGTGTTGATTATTACTGGTGGTTGGAAACAAAGAAGAATCACCGGTATTTGGAAAATATGGCCTTGGTGGTATAAGTGACACTGGAGATCACATGATAGAATTTTGTAAGATCAATGACTTATTTATTGCAATACCTTTTTTTCAACAACATAAAAAGCAGCTGTACATGTGGACTTCACCAGATGGAATACACATCTGGAATTTGCACATCTGTGCAAGGAGGTGATGAAGATGCTTAATATCTGCAGCCAAAACAAGGCCAGGAGTTGATTGTGGAACAGACCATCAACAGCTCATATGCAAGTTCAAGTTGAAACAAGTACAAGAGAGCCAAAATATGACTTTAATTATATCCCACCTGAATTTGGAAACCATTTAAAGAATAGATTTGATGTACTGAATACCGATACTGAAAACCAGATGAACTGTGGGATGACATCAAGAACATCATACATGGAGAAAGCAAAAGATCATTAAAAAGACAGGAAAGGAAGAAAAGACAAAAATGAATGCCAGAAGAGACTCCGAAACTTGCTCTTTACCAGAGAGTAGTTAGAGAAAATGGAGGAAATGACAAGATGAAAGAGCTGAACAGAAGATTTTGAAGAGCAGCTTGAAAAGACAAAGCCAATTACTACAATGAAATGTGCAAAGACATGGAGTTAGAAAACCAAAAGGGAAGAACGTATTTGGCATTTTTCAAACTGAAAGAACTGAAGAAAAAATTCAAACCTCAAGTTAAAATATTGAAAGATTCTATGGCCAAAATACTGGATGATGCAGCAAACATCAAAAGAAGATGGAAGGAATACACAGAGTCACTGTACCAAAAAGAATTGGTCAATGTTCATCTATTTCTGGAGGTGTCATATGATCAAGAACCAATGGTATCAAAGGAAGAAGTAGAAGTTGCACTGAAGGAATTGGCAGAAAACAAGGCTCCAGGAATTGACAGCACATCCATTGAGATATTTCAACAAATGGAAGCTGCACTGGAGGTACTGACCATAAATGGGGAGAAGATTGAAGTTGTCAAAGATTTCATATTACTTGCTTCCATTATCAACACCAATGGAAACAACAGTCAAGAAATCAGACAACATATTGCACTGAGTAAATTTGCTGCAAAAGACCTTAAAGTGCTGAAGAGCAAAGATGTCTCTTTGAAGAATAAGGTGCAACTAACCTAAGCCATGGTGTTTTCAATTGTCTCATCTGCCTGTAAAAGCTAGACAATGAATAAGGAAGACTGAAGAAGAGTTGATGCTTTTGTTTGTGGTGTTGGCAAAGAATCCTTAAAGTACTATTGACTGCCAGAAGAACTAACAAATCTGTCCCAGAAGTAGTGGAGCTGGAATGATCCTTGGAAGCAAGAATGGCCAGACTTTGGGTCATCTACTTTGGTCATGTTGTCAGAAGGGACCATTCCCTGGAAAAGGATGTCATGCTTGGTAAAGTGGAGGGTCACTGAAACAGGGGAAGGCCCTCAATGAGATGGATTGATACAGTGGCTGCAACAATGGGCTCAAGTATAGCAAGGATTGTTAGGTTGACATAGGATCAGGCAGTGTTTTGTTCTGTTGTACATAGGGTCGCTATGAGTTGGACAACAACAACTTCCTCTACCTAAACCTGAAATATCCACATGCTTCTCCTCCATCCTGGGCTCTCTTCTCTTCTTAATTACACTCTCCTCAGCTGATCTCAGCCATATCTGTGTCTTCAACTAACATCTTCATGCACTCAAACCCTAAATCTGTACCTCCAACTGAGCTCTGCTGAGATCCAGGCCCTTATCAGTGTGGTCTCTGGAGCTTCACCCAAGAAGTGGCCCACTTGACATCTTGAATATCTTACAGCCTTTCAAATTGAGTGTATTTGACACTGAATTTTTTATCTTTTCTATAGACTTGTTCTTCCAGGACTCTCCACTTCACTGAAACAAATCTTCATGTTAAGAAGTCGGGAGACATTAAATTACTAAAATCTCTCTTCCTATATTCCATTAACTAGCCAGTCCTGGAGTTATTACATCTAATCATTTCTTCCTTCTATCTCCACTGCTCTCCTGAGTCCAACCTTTTTATTTTTTTTTTTAACTTTTTATTGTGATTTGGAGGAAGGTTTACAGAGCAAATCAGTTTTCTATCCAACAATTCACATACATTTTCTTTCATGCTATTGATTGGAATCCCCACAATGCAACATCACTTATCTTACCCCTCCCCGTGTGTATTGTTTCCATTCCTTCTTCTTTCCTAGCCCTTCCTCCTTTCTGAACTTTGTCTTTGGGAAAATGCTGCCCTTTTGATCTTGAATGGTTGATTGTTCTAAGGAGTTCATACCTTCCTGGTGTTAGTGTTCACCTTATAGGCCTGTCCACTGTTTGACTGAAAGTTGAGCCACAGGGGTGAGTTCAGTTCCAGGCTTCAAGGGAGACTAAGGGCCATAGTCTCAGGGGTTCCACCAGTCTCCATCAATGATTTTGAGTTTTGTTCCACATTTTTTCCTCACTCTTATTGTGTTTCAGAGTGGTTGGAGTGGTAGCCAGGCAACATGGAAGCAATCTGCTTCCTTAAAGATTTATAGTCTTGGAAACCCAGTGGGAGTTGCTATGAGTTGGAATTAACTCAATGGCAGTGACTTTGGCTTTGAGTTCTGAGTATACATAATAGTATTTACCTCTGTTGCCTTTAATTTTTGGGCTTCTCCTAGTGTCTTCCTTTGCTTTGATCATTTTCTCCTGACCTCCATTTTATTGTATGTTGCCTTTCCCCTCACCCAAGTTAATATGTGTCTGTTCTATACTTAATGACTTACCCTCCCTTTCACCCCTACCCCTGGTAACCATCAAAGACTGTTTCTTTCTATGTGAAAACCTTTTTTTGGTTTTTCATAATAGTGGTCTCATACAATATTTGTCCTTCTGTGATTGACTAATTTCACTTAGCATAACATCCTCCAGGTTCATCCATGTTATGAGGTGTTTCACGGATTCCTCATTATTCTTTAACATTGCATAGTATCCCATTGTGTGTACCATAGTTTGTTTATCCATTTATCCATCAGTGGGCATTCAGGTTTTTGCCATCTTTTTGCTATTGGGAATAGTGCTGTGATGAACATAGGTGTGCATATATTTGATCATGTCATGGCCCTTATTTCTGTAGGATACTAGTAGTGGAATTGCTGGGGAGCTCTGGTAGCATAGTGCCTAAGGCACTTGACTGCTAACCAGAAGGCTGGCGGTTCAAACCCACCAACCACTCCTCGGAAGGAAGGTTGGGAAATCCTACTTCCGTAGTGATATTGCCTCGGAAACCCAAGGAGGGGTCACTATGAGTCAGGGCCAACTCGACGGCAAACAACAACAACAACAACAACATGGTATTTCAACTTTCAACTTTTTAGGAAAATACCATACCATTTTCCACAGTGGTTGTACCATTTTACAGTCCCACCAGCAGTGTATGAGGGTTCCGGTATCTTGATACCCTCACCAGTGTTTGTTGTTTTCTGTTTGTTTTAACTTTGCTATTAATGCTGGGATTTGATTATATCTCAGTATTGTTTTGATTTGCATCTTTCTAATGGCTAATGATCATGCCACAGTAGTCAAAACAGCCTGGTAGTGGTACAATGACAGATACATAAACCAATGGAACAGAATTGAGAATCTACAAGTGTATCCATCCACCTATGGACAGCTGACAGGGCTGAAATACATTAAATGAGGGAGAGATATTCTCTTTAGCAAATGGTGTTTGCAGAAAAGTGAAACAAGATCCATATCTCACACCATATACAAAAACAAACTCAAGATGGATCAAAGACTTAAATGTAAAATATAAAACTGTAATCATCAAAGAATAAATAGGGACAAATTAAGTGGTCATAATACATGGCATAAAGATAATATCAAACATAACTAAAAATGCACAAATAGCAGAAGACAAACTAGATGACTAGGACCACCTAAAAATTAAATACTATTGTATATCAATATATTTCAGCAAAAGAGGCAAAAGAGAATCCACTGACTGAGAAAAAGTTTTTGTCAATGACATATCAAACAAGGGACTAATCTCTAAAATTTATAGAAAAGATCAACATCTCAACAACAAAAAGTCAAATAATCCAATTAAAAAATGGGCAGGG